TTTGACTATTCTTTTCCAGAATCACCAGACTCCTCCTCTTCTAATTCATCTAATTCATCAGCTGAATCATCATTTCTATTTAATATTTCACGTTCATCTTCCTCATTTTCATTTTCATCCTCCTCATATAAAATGTAACACAAATTATCTGAAATAAAATGTCTTGGATATAAGCACCACTCACATTCATAATAATGACGATTGGCAATTGGCACATGTATATTAATATTTTTCATTACATTTAAAAAATATCAAATTTCATTAAAAATAATAATAACCTTTCAACATGACCATATTATAATGTGGTCAACATTATCATCGTCAAATTGGCGTTTCCTCTGTTTCAACAATAATATCAAAACTATTAATCGAAGAATTAGAAGTTGTGGTTGTGGTTTGATTTAGTGTTGGTCACCAAAACCGGTTTGAAGAGATGAAAGTTAAACTTATGTGTCGAGACTGAATCAAAAATTAAAGGTCAAAGCGAAACATTTTGACTTTTATATAGCTGCGAAATTCTCTAGTTTTGGAGACCAATAATAGTTGGATTCGATATCGAGGATTCCTGGTTATTTATTAAATTTGCATTCCAATAACCATTTTGCCTTGACCCACTGAACTCAAATGGCGAAGTTAAAGCCGTGCCCAAGTTTGAAATTTTTTTTTAGATAATAGTAATTAATGATAATACGTTTAATATTACCTAAAAAACAATTTAACAACCTGTTTTTGAACTCGGCTCGAACTTGAAAATTCAAATTTGCTCAACTTGGAGTATCTATATTCGAATAAAACGAATAAAACACTGAATTCGGATTAAGATTACGAATAATATGAATAAGACTTTGTACTACTATTACTGTTATGAATAGAAACTTTAATTATTATTGTTTTCTTTATTATTATCTTTTATCCAGCTACACGAGCATTGTATTTTTTTTTTTTTTGAGCAAATGTATTTTTTTTCTTTTGTCATTCTAAGTTGACCAATCTTGACTAAGTTCCTATGCCACTGAATTCTGCACTAAAATCCCTGACGTAAAAATGAATGTTAAGAGAACAATTATTTTATCATCATGGCTGGATCATATCACTAATTTTTAAATAAATTATATCATTAAATATTAAATACTATGATACAAGCGTTAGTTTTGGAATGCGGGCAGTTTAATTTTTAGTCTACATATTTATAAATAAGTAATACACATACCAAATCCTGCTGCGATTAAGGTCATATATAATAGTAAGTGGTGAAAATAAAGACCATATTTACAAAATGTAATAGTAATTATAAATTTTATAGTCAATAATTTTCTTTGAGAAGAAAATCTTAATTGTATTTATTTATTATATATACATGCAAGAGACGCACATGATATTAATATTATGCCATATTTTATTTGTTTTACAGTATAATTACATGGTTTTCTTATATCGCCATATCATGCGAATCTCCTATTACTATCTAACTATTGTCATGTTTCATACAACCGAAAAATTTATTTATTTTAGTTGAGAGAAGCAAACACTTGATTGGACATCATATTTTGCCAAATGATCTGTATAGGACCATTGAACTTCATTGCAAAGAAATTTTGAACCACATCAAAGAAAAAGAAGCAATAGCGAGTTGATTCCTAATGATTTTTTTTAAGAAGTATTGAAACTCATTTTCAATGTTAATTTTACTGCTGTTACTAAAGTTCAAAGAGAAGAAAAAAATTAAAGTAACAATATTATTATTTATAATATATAATATAATATAATATATGTGTAAATAAATAAATAATTTTTTTTACAGTGAATAATAAAAAGTGTTAAATTTTATAATGTATGCACTCCACAACTACAGTATAATCATTTTTTTTCGGGAAATAAAATTTCCCAAGAACATAATAATAATAATAATAATAATAATAATAAGAACGATAAAAAAAAGAAATTTTTATTCAACTATTACGCAATAATACAGTTTACACATCTAAACTCGACAAGTCGGACATTTATTTATATTATAAAGTACTTTAAACAATTGATTGCTGCGTTCGACTTATCGAGTTTAGATGTGTATATGCACACACATACCTCAATCAATAAAATCATCAAAATTGTCATTCATTAACTACGCGTTACAAGAAAATACACAGCACATTTGATCATGTACACATCGCTCGCCTGTATAATCAAGCTTAATATAGTATATATATAATATACATATGTGTAAGTAATCCTGTAATTTTCCCATTCTTCAATCAATCAATTAATCAATTAATCAATAATAATATTTACATAACCTTTCGATTATCAAAAAAAAAAAAAAAAAGAAAGCAAACTTCTTTAGGTATAGGTATTCTTATCAGCTTTTAAAATCTAACGTTGGAAATTTAAAATGAAAAGGCCCACTTTAATTGTAATGTAAATTTTGGTGAAATGAAGTCACACTAACATTTTCAGCTAAATACAAGAGTAAAAATGAGATACAACTAAATTGATTTACTACTTATTGAAGTCTTTGAAGCATTGTAATTTAGTAATTTATAATTTATCATCATCATAATTATCATATATTGCTTTAGTTGTTATAACTATTAATAATATTATTGAAAGATAATATACAAAGAAATTTTATTAAATCATATTTAGAGGAGAAGGGATTATTAAAATTATTATTTTTATATATTTGCATATGATTATTAAAAAACTTTTAGGTGTAAAAAATAAATGTTATTTTTTTACCAAGGAAAATCAATAAATAGATCTCGTCAATACATTATTTGTCTAGTAAACAATTTATCTTTAACCATCAACTATTTTATCAGAATCAAATTTGGAACTATTTTTGTTTTCTATGAATGTTCACTATTTCACTGTTCACTACATGCATGTATATATATATATATGTACATATTATAAACAATATATTGTAGACAATATAATAATTTATTAATTAAATAAACGATATGATATGCAGTGCAAAAAAACAAAAAACAAACAAACAATGTAATAAGAGGGAAAAATAGAAAATGCAATTTTGTTGATTTGTAAAATAGAACGCATAAATAAATAAAAAATAAATTTATTTATTAGATGATGTTAATAAAGTTTATTTTGTAAAAAGTTGAATTGTAGTATAATACTTACACCCTGGTTATTACAAAATAAATATATTTAATTAGATGATGTTTATTTTGTGTTGTAAAAGTTAAATTATAATACAACACTTACACACATACGAATGAATAAATCAAATTATATAATCTTTTTACTATCTATATATTATGCTATTTATTTATTAAGACCTGAAGTAATAAATAAGCTGTATGTTACGTTTATAATAAATAAAAAAAAGTTGTTAATTCGAATTATTTGTTTTATTCGAATTACATTGAAAGTTTATTTGAATAAAACGAACAAAACAAATAATAAACGAATAATAATAATTCGAAAGAGAATTTGTATTACGAATGCTTTTGATTATTATTATTTTTTCGTGTGGGAGTTGGAAATAATGTGAATCTTTTGGTAAAATGAAGTCAGCTAAATGCAAAGTAAAAATGAGATACTACCTATTGAAAGTCTTTGAAGCATTTGTTGTAATTGAGTAATTTATAATTCATCATAATTATAATAAATTAATTTTTTAATTTTTTATTATTGCATGAATAAATAAAACAACACATGCATACACGACTAATTATCTATATTAATATTATTTAAATTAATAATAAAAAATAATTACAATTTTCCAACTCTTTTCTTTCTACCAAAAATGGATAACAATAAAACAATAAAAAATAATGTACTAATGATAATTTATTGGTTTATTTTTTTTTTACAAAAAAAAAAAAATATAAATAAAAATATATTAATAAAAATATATTTATCATACATACATTTATAACATTCTCCATGGCATCATCATAACATTTATTTGTTAGTATTTAAATCCAATCAGCTATATACTGTATCTTATTTTGTAAATCTGAATATAAAAAAAAAAATTTAATTTTCCTAATTTCGTTTAATTAGTTTCAAGATAGGAAACTAGCCACGTTTTTTTGGTGTAAGCATAAATATTACATCATCATAAAATAAAATTGGTAGGTATATATATATATAAAGATTGTTTGTTTCCTTATTTGATTGATTGAAGATTACATGGGGCATACTGCAACAAAACCAGACAAAGTGAACATTTGTATTACCAAGAATTTCAGGGATCAAAATTTAGTAATGTGATTATTAAAATCCCCCATTCGTTATATTTGTTTTTTCTTAATATTAAGTGGTATATAGAATTACCTCTATATAAAAATAGTTAATATGAAGCTAATTTACATTAGGTCTACTATGGAACCAAAGAATTACAGCACCATTAGAAGTATTTTGAAGAAAGAACAAGGTGAGAAAATTGCTCCTTACATTTTTAAATTAGCAGATACCAAATCTTTGCAAACATATTTAGACAAAGAAAAGATTACTTA